GACAAGCGTCGTATTTTTATGGAGGCACATTTCCTATGATGTCTTATTTGCCGCTTGTAATATGGAATCTTAATCAGGTATTAGCTTCCGAGGTACCGGCGTGATCATTGACCACAAAGACCGATTTTGTCTCCTTCCATTCTTGAAACCCTATGATCGAGGAATGGGAGCTTGGGACAACCAATGGGAGCAGCTTTTGGAGTGTAATTGACAGTACCATGTCATTGACACCCTTTCTCCGAAGTTTTTTTGGCACCCCAGATCACCAGAAGAAATCGAATGAACTTTCACCAAACAGCCCCCAAAGTTTTTGTTGCAATAAAAAGCCACAGATAGGCCTTCTGGTGTACATAAGAGATGCTGCATACGTACAACAGATACTGCAGATATACATCAATGTCACGAACATTGACCTTTAATAGTGTCTAATGGTGTTATCCCCCACCTCACTTTTCAAATTTTTTTTGGCCTGGCAAGTCTTACACCTCCACCTTGCCCCAACCCCCCCCCCAATACTGGCAAGATTTAGGCAGATGGAGGAATTCATCCATACAGGCCTTAACTGACTGTCCAAATAACGCAAATAAGTTGGTAATTTCGAACAGCACAAATCAAATCATTTTAAAATAAAAATGTAGAATATTTCCTATTGGCTTATAAATTGGGACGGTTTTGAAGCGTCGTATGTCTGCTCGCGAGCTCATTATTTATATTTTGTGATCCCACGGTTTCTTATTTTCTACAATAAGACGTGCCATAATCACGAGGGATCATAGAATTATTTATACCAATCCCGAATTTGGGATTGATGTTTCCGGTTCAGAGTATTTCTTTCACAAAAAGCCCCACAATGCGGGCCTATTTTGGATAGAGGCAGACGGCTACATTCATATGAGCGCATAGTTTTACTACTATTAGGGGGGGTATCTTCCGGAAAAGGCAAATAAAAAAATTCATAAAATTGAAACGAAAAGTGATCGATCTGGCCATAATCTTGAATTTCAAGCGGAAAAAAAATTATCTTGAATTTCCAGCGAAAAAAAATGAAGGCCAACCTCTTTGCGATGTTCAAGAGTCGGCACTATTTCGGTCTACGGGCGCGTATTTGGTGTAATGCAACCATAAGACTGAGTGGGTCCGAGTTGACTCGAGATGGGTCCGAAATGGCGTGGGTCCGAATTGACGTGGGTCTGAGTTGACGTGGGTCCGAGATGGTCGTGGGTCCGAGTTAGTATTGGGTCCGAAATGGAATGGGTCTGAGTTGATTTGGGTCCGAGTTGACCTGATCCCTAATACATAAACCGAGAACACATGGGGTACAAGTGGTAACAGCAAATGGGGGCGTGGATTTACATCAGTTCCACCGTTAGTTTTGGCACAAGACGTCAGTGATCGGTAGTTATTAGTTTTATTCCTGTTGAAGAGCGCCCTCGCACAACTAGTTTTTACTTACTCTCACTAACGAGCTGGCGCACTATGCACAGTGTCCGATATCAAGCACTAACGTCTTGAAACCAAGACTATTCCACCGTACGCGTACCGGGCGTGTATGCATGGCCTTAAGACTGACGAAAAGGGGGAACCCTGTGTGCGAATTGTGAACCTCTAGTTAGGCAAACCTAACCCTAATCAACAGAAATTAACCCTAGTTTCCAGTTACAAGCGATTATTTTCTATGGAATTCCATATCTGCCGTCGTGCGTCGTCCGTCGTGCGTCGCCCATCGTGCGTCGCCCGTCGTCCGTCGTGCGTCGTGCGTCGCCCGTCGTGCGTCGCCCATAAAAAATCAAATGGGTTGCATAGGACCTGCAAAAGCCGGGGTTTAACAAATGATAATGTGATGATTCCATTCACTTCTAAAGATCTTTTCCGAATAAGGCAAGCACAAATCTCACCTGCAAAGCATATACTAGTCACATAATTAATTCCAATAATGCTAGACTACCCCTGCCCCTTGACAAGAAAATATCGCCTCTCTGAGAATTCAACCAAGTGTTTTTCGGGGAAAAACGTTTTCAGCAAAAATGTTCCGGCCAACTTATCCACAGTGTTATTCTAATTGTGCCGACTTGTTTTCATCAAAATTCCAGGAAGAAATCTGCCACTGCGGAACCGATACAGACATTCCATCTTGTCCTCTCAATTTCACCTGGAAATCCAGACATACTAGACGTGCTGTGGATAACAAACTGTTTATTAAATGTATTGTTAGGGGGCAATTACCACTTGGTTTAAGTTTCAGAAAATATGACGTGTTGGTTTTGTTTTTGCATCCAAAAACCGGGATTTACTTATAAGGATGCAGGCCCGTAAATAGGCCGCGAAAACTGCTTCGCGGGCCAAATCACAATTTGTATGCCCTCAACTTCTTTACGAAATAGAGTATTTTGTGGCCCGTAAACTTGAAATTTTGTGGAAGAGACAAGTTTAGGCGGGCAAAGAGAATCTCAGCTTGCATCTGAGTGATATTTGGAAGAAATTGGTGCCTGAAAAACGGTCCATTTTTCGAGAAGTGTAGGCATCGATATTTCAAAATGGCGAGGGGTTTCCCCAAGACTGCATTTTAGGGGCGACCTTCCGTGGAAATAAATATCTTCAAAAGTCATCGGTTAATGAATGGAGATTTGAAAAAATAATTAAAAACCATAAACTGGGCTTTAATTTGACGTGCGTCTCAAACGCTTGATAAACTCGTGAGTATTTGTCCTGATTTTTAAATTCCGGGTATTTATTACTGTTGGCTATGTAGTACTGTCCTGCAACCTGTAGAGACTGCGCCCTCTATTGTCAGTCTATAGATATTTTTAATGAGTGTGGTACGTACATGTACATGTATGTACAGTACATGAACGTCTGTAAGATACTTCTGCAGCTGTACGGGCCTGACGGCCGCGCCGTTGTCAATAAAATCATCGCCCAACTCCTTGATCAAGGCTAACTACCAGCGCGAGTGTACGTGTCCAGGTAGCGCCTTGAGTAAAGGCTAGACCAAACAAAGCGCCTTTTATTTTGGGCAAGCATGAGGCAGTTCTGCACTATTCCTGAGAAAATGCAACACACTGCAGACTGAACCAGAACTGGAACATAAGCAGTCATAAAAGAAACAATTACCCTAGTAATCTCCCAGTTCTCGACTGAATAAAGTAATTCATAGAGCCTCAATTGCAATTTATATGCTTAGAACTTAAGAAGCACTTAAACCGGCGATTTCGCCACAATATTATAATTAGCCTTGAAGTTGAACTACCGAAACGGGCTTCCAGAGCTACGGCTAGGTCTATTGTCTACGCGTCGCCACGCATTTCCAATGGAGCGAAGACCTAGACCTAGCTCTAGACAACAGATTCGGATGCAGCTGAAGACTGGTCGATGCTCTCATGCGCGCGCCGGCCGGCCGGCCGGCCTGTAGACGATTGTACAGGTGATTTTCATAGTGAAATGCCGTGACACCTGTATCACGATCACGAATTGTGCTATTATTGCACAAGCGATCACATGACAACCGTGACAGATAGCATTGTGAGTCAGTCAGTCCACAGAGCTGGTTGACTTTGATCATGTATGTCGAACCATGGTCGAACACATTCAGTTATAAATCTGCGGATATTTCGGCGTGAGGATTTCCTCGGCTAAAACCAGGTAGGCAGTTGACAGAGACGCACATCATCACAACTGGGAGACAGGGGACAAATGTTGCATCCTGACTCCACTTTTCTCATCATATATCATCTCAATAAAAGTCAGTCATTACAGAAATGCTGGAAAGACACAAATTCTGGACTGAGAAACATTTACTGATGTTGTTGGGAAATACTTCGAAAATTCTCTTCTCTCCCCATAGACTTTGTACACAACTGCTGAAGTGGAGTCAGGATCATGAATGCAACATTTTTATTATTATTATTAGCAGATTAGGCCTATTATTATATGTATTTCTGGTAATGACACCAAGGATTCCTCAAAAGCACCCTAGGCACTGTAGCTCGCAAACCTGAAGAAACCTGTAGGGTGGAGACAATGAGAAGCAGTTACAGTTTTAGAGGTGGGAGGAAAACCCCAGAGGAATGTTCTGGGTAAAACCCACAGAATCAGGTAGGGACTGAAAACCCAATCCACATGTGGACCGGGCTGGGATTCGAACTTGGGCCGCAGAGGTGGAAGGCGAGGAAAGAACCACTATGCCAACCTGACTCCTCCGGAGACTGTCCTTGTATTTGGAGAAGTCCTCGTATTCAAGGACAAAAATCAGTCCCCAGAAAGAGAGAATGTCCCTCTAAATTACTTCCAGAACTGTGTGAGGTTTATACAATTATTAGTTGTACAAATCTTTGTATGAACCTTACAGTTCTGGAAGTACCTCTGAATGAAGACATTTTTTTTCAAGTGGGCTTGGTGATCCTACCATAAGAGTACCAATGCTCTAGGGATCCTTTTATGCCTTGATTGCAGAAGAAAACACCCAAGGCTGCCGTGTAAAAGAAATTCTTGTTTTCTGCCGTTTACTGCTAAGATGTGTTTGACATAATCAGTTAATCTGCACAATCGCTTGATCTTTCCTTGATCTGTCAATCATGCACAATGGTCAAATAATCCTGTCATCAGCCAATCACCTTTTCTGTCAACTATGCGGCTGTGGAAGATTGTTTTAAAGAGGAATGTGCAGTCAGAAATGTTACAAACAGTTGAAGGATAGAGTCATCGTGCAGATGGACTGATCACTTCCTGCATGTATCTTTGCTCTTGTATCCAGTCACATTTATGTTAGACAGCAAGCGCTTAACAGTTTCCACATAATTATGAAAAGTGTTGCCCCATAGCAAAACAGATAGTGACAAAATGGTGGCAAGATCAAATCCTGCCCTTGCAGTGCCCACAAGTTGAATTTTTTTTCCTTCCTAAAAATTCCAAAATCTTCCTTCACTTAGTTCAATTCAGTTCAGGTTCACTTTATTTTCCACATAAGAGTGAAGGGGGAGTCCCTAAAAAGCAAAGCTTGTCGAGTAGGGACTCCCACTTACATAACAACACGTACAAATACATGTATCACATTCACAGAGACATTACATTGTCGTACATATGTGCGTACTAACATAAGACAATAATTAGACATAAAAAAAAAGAGATGAGTGCGGCAAGTAACTCTGTGATTCAGTAAACAGACCTTATATTTATGTTTGAACAATGATGGATTGGTTATATTTTTAACCTTAACAGTCCTCAGTCCTCCAACAGGTGAAGGATTGAGGACTGTTAGGGTTAATGATAGATCTAGCGAGTTCCACAACTCAGGGCCCTCGTGCCTTACTGTTATGATTGCAAGTTTAGTGCGTACAGACGAACGATGAAATTCACTCAACTGTCTTGTAAAATGGCAATGGATTCTATCATTTTTTATGAACATTGAATTTATATACGTAGGTAACTTAGTATTATTTACTTGGTGCATAAGGGTTCCAAGCTGGAAATAATAGATATCACTGACTTTAAAAGTTTGACACTGTTGAAAAAGAGGATTGCAGTGCTCTTGATAATGCGCAAGGCCTTTTTTTTAAGTTTGAGTACTCTGTCTATTTGGCTAGTGCCACAGCTGCCCCAGGCAAGCATTCCATATGATACGTATGGCAACATCAGGGTATTATACAAAGTTAATAAATCATTTTCTGGAAGATATGTTTTAAGTTTACATATTTGTAACACTCTCGACTTCTTAACTTGTACAATATTATTCCTATATTCCTAGATATTACTGAACAGATGTAATTAACAGGTTTTTTCCATGATAGTCTCCCAGAAATTTAGTAGAGTCAGTCTTCTGAATGTTAGTATTATGTATAAATATGCCCAGAATAGAATGACAAGACCTTTTTACTGAATAACACAGCGTTAGTTTTCTTTAAGTTAATGGTCAACTTATTTGCTTTGATCCATACTGCAACCTTTTCCAATTCTATATTGACTGTGTCAAAAGTGTATTAACATCATTATGACTATGAAATAAATTGCTGTTGTCTGCAAACAAAATAGAGAAAGCAAGGCAGAAGATTTGCTAAAATCATTGATATAAATCGAAAATAGAAGGGGCCCAAGAATGGACCCTAGAGGGCTCTATAGGAAATTTTACAATAAGATGACTAATGACCATTTATACGTTGTTGGCGGTTAAAGAGGTAACTTCTGAACCAGTGCAGAGCCATTCCTCTGATATCATAATAATCAAGTTTTGATAAAAGAATATCGCGATTGACCATATCAAAGGCTTCAGAGAGGCTCAGGAAGATACCAATAGTAATCAACGAAGCATCTAAATCATTGGTTATCTTGTCAATTAAATGGCTAATTGCATGTGATGTTGAGTGTTTCTCTCTAAACCCATACTGGTTGTCAGAAAATACATTATGTTTGTCTAAGAAGTGTATTGTACATGTACGGTAGGTGTGCAGATAATGCATTCCATAATTTTAGAAAAGGAAGAGAGAGCAGAGATTGGTCTGTAATTGTTTACTAGAGATGCTTTAACACCTTGCTATTAATTATTTTCCAGGTATTTTGATATTACCTTTTTCTTTATTGAACTGTTGTACATAATAGTTACATGTGCATTTGGAATTATGAAGAACATTAGTCAATACATTTTTATATCAAACTTAATTAGCATGATTTAACATGTTTAAGTCGGTAGGCTTAGACTTATATTTAGGCTTAAGTTTATTTTTGTAATTGATAGATTTACTCAGACTAACCGTGACCCAAGGCACTTCTTGAATTAATTTCCAAGAACATCAAGATCAGATCTTAGTGTGTATTAATGGTAATTAGAATGTCCAATGTTTCAAACCAAATTCCAAGTCAAATTGCAGGACATATCTATTTTCTTTTTGTGGTCTGTAATTCTGGCAGATTTTTTCAAGTTAATAAAGTCCAAAGTTGCAATGGGTTTGAATTCCATCTCACAAATACAAACTTACAGTGACAATGTACATGTAAGCATGGAACCAGATGGAAGTTTGTTGTAATATTTCTAAGAACCCCAGAACACAACATACAACTGGCAATTTGGTGCTTATCGCAATCGATTAACGGTGCTACTTGTACTTATTCTCCTTTTTTGACAGGATTTTGTCAGAGTGAAGACTGTCTGAAGTGGAGCACTTGTTCTGAAACTTAAACTTTTCGGAGGTTTGTCCACTTTTGGACCAAATATTTTGAGACAAGCTACAGTATCCGTACGTAAGCATGGCAACATCAACAGCCCGGTTTGTTTTTATCTCGGTGTTGTTGCTAACCATATGCTGTGCAATCAGCTTTGCCCACTTGGAAGTGGATCCGTCAAAGCTCAAGAACATCCTGTACAAGTCATGGTCGCCACCCCTTCATGAAGCTACAGTGGATACGTACAACGTGTCTGCTGCTTGTGAAGCTGAAATCAAAAGGCTCATCGGTGGTGATCCCCGCACCCTTGAGAGCGATGTCATAATGGGTAAGTCCGTTTTTCCATACGTACTCTCTCACAATTCCACAGTGATGGCTTCTAGGTAGGTAATTTTGTTGGCTTGTTCGCTCATTTTTCTTTCTTTTGTCAAAAAATAGCTTTTGCTGGTACAGACAAGTTCGAACAATGACTGTGGTTCAACCACTGGTTAGTTGCCTCTTACCAACGTGCAACAACTACTACAATGCTTGTCAGTCTCTGCCATCTATTGTGGTTATTTTCAGGCCAGCAGTGCACTTAGTTTTTAGTTACAACAAATGCTATATGTCCCACAATAGTTGGCTCCATGGTCCAACCATTCATCGTGCAAGTGACAGCAATGAAGCCATTATGTGTAGTCTTTTGTCTAACTTGATCTTTGTCGATGTTCATTGACCAAGTTTTGACCTATTAACTTGATGATACCGACACAAGGGTCAGTAGACACCAGGGATGGTTCTCTGTCTATAGAAGAGAGCTAAGCAAAGGAAACATTGCGTGCACGCAATTTTCATTTGAATGTCGCACAAACTACAGCATAAATAATGTTACTTAACAATAATAAAACATGTACTTCCATTTCAGGAATTTACAATGGGTGTGCTAATAGGGCCCTCCAAACATTGGGGGACATTTATAAGCTGACCTATATCAGGATTTTGTTCAGCCAAACTGCAAATCTGTGTTTTGGTCATTTGGAGGACAATTTAAAATAAGGTATTCACCTGTATAAGAAAAATGTTAGTCAGTTGCTGGTTACTATGAAACAAAAATAATCATTGGCACACCAAACAAAGGTTGTATACAACAAGTAAACACATATGACACAAACATGAAAAGTCCCCCCCCCCAACAAATTCATTTCATACCTGCGTCAATCCTCTGTACCTGAATAATTTTGACAGCTTCCACGGAGCTCTGTCACTTACGTATTGTCTTCTTATAATTGATATTCATGCAGCTCTGGATGCCTTTGGCAAGCCACCAGCCGGTTTACTTCAGTTAAACTTTGGGTGGTATGGACACTATGATGAATGCATGGCCATAGAAGGGTTCAACTACTGCCTGACTGACCTGATGTTGAACGTGACAAAGTTGTCGGAGCACCCCAAAAATGTAAAGATTGTTTGTTTTTTCCACCTCGGAAAGGAGCCCCATAGCAACGGTTCCATAAAGAACAACATTTAATTTGTAATTAAGTAGAAGAACGCAAATTAATCCACTGTCTGTTGGATTTTGACAGCATTTTCCATGTTGAATGTCATGCACTGTAGGCTTTGGGTATAAACAAAGGCTTTTAAAGAATTTGAAAATGAAATCATGCGATATTGCTCGTTATGTAATGTACGTTCAGTCCTCTCATCTTTGCACATTTTTTCTGGTTGACCTTGTATTCCAGAGTTCTCTTGGAACAGGGTTTCCTGGCATGGAAACGATGGACATCAAATGGGGGATATGCGTGCCCAAAAACTGCAGCGACGAGGATGTTGACGCTGTCATAACTCACCTACTTGGTAGGTCCAGCAAATGAATCACAATAACGACAGACCAAAAAAAGGACTGACAAAATATTCTTGCATGTCCATGTAAATAACAACCATAGATCAACACTGAAATGGTTACAGCTCCCTGACGAGCATACTTAATGCTCTTGTTTAAGCATAAATGGACACACGAAAAAAAAAAGCAATCTCTACCATCACAGATGTCTCTGTCATTCCCAACGAGGTGAAGCACTTTTTGTCATGTCTTACTGAGAATTTTCCTCAAGCCTGCCAGAGCAGAGCCTTCCCTTTTTAAATCTTCTCATTTCTCTGTGCTGGTGGTCAAAGATGCGCTTCAGGTATTGGAGAGTGTCAACATACCACGAGATGTTCTCCAGGAGACGGGTGTTGTCTGTGCAAAGAATCCAACAATTCCGTACAGTGCCGGTGTCATCTGCACTATGTGAGTTTTATCTTCCTATCCTTTCTTTGTCATATGTGATGAATCTATTAGGCTCTTCCTCTGGGGCCCACATTCTTCAAAATGTAGCAGATGGTTCGGGGAGATTTGCAATTTCAAGGTGGTTTGAAGCCCTCATGGCTTGATGTCCGGGCATAAATCTAGGGAAGTAATGTGCCATCGTTTCCTGCTTAGTGGAGGATGTCGAAAGATTCAAGAAGGTTCAGGGCATGCGTTTGACCAGATTACAGAAACTGAGTCTCAAGGCCAGTTTTTACTGCTTGTATTTTTAGTTCCATAATAAAGAGTAAACAGAGTTTTTGGTTTGATACATCCATTTGGCATCCTGGCGGGAATAGACAAAAATGTTGATGGTTCGCATTGAGTTACAGTGTGCAAGTTTCATTTGAAATCCTGTGACGCAATAGTGACCCTGGTGACTTGCGACCTTTCTTGTTAAGTTAGATCACAAATGCCTCTGCACCTGTCATTATTTATAACTCCTTCAGTACCAAACAGCGCACACAAATGTACCTTTCCCTTTAAAATCCGAAATACCTACAGTCATTTGCAAAAAATTGAGACCACCTGGAAATTTGTTGATATTTGTGTCACCGGTTCTGCGTGGTATTGTCTCATTGAATGATTACCTAACATGATTTTACAGTACTCCGTTACATCAGAGTCATGCTATGAGCCCATTTGAATGAAATTTGTTGCAAAGGCAGGTCTTGTATCACATTTTGTCTTTTGTGCAGTGTGGGTAAAACAGTCAGTCTAAGTCATCAAAAACAGAGGAGGGTGCACTAAATATAAGATGGTAAATATTTCAAATCGTGAAATGAAGTCAAATATTTGCTCAAATCAAGATGTTAAGATTATGCATTGAAAATAATCATAAGTTGCCATGATTAATTAATTGAAGTTTGGTTTTGGTTGTGGTTAATGCATCATGTATGTTTGGTCCTAAACTTTCGCAATGATTGTAGTTTAAGGTTGTCAGTGTATGCCATAGGTGCAACCATCACCGGCAGCAGAGGGGGGGGAACCAGTGGCCTCACTTTTTTGCAAGTTTTATTGGGTGGGGCTCAATGGATCAGCCTGCATGTGCTAATGGTTGATACCGGATAGTCTAACAACTGCCCCCCCCTGACAATTATTCCATTGCAGGTGGCGACCATCCACTTTTAGTGACCAATTCATTTTGATTCTTGTCACAAACTCGTCACCGCATACCCCTTGTCTCTGATTTTTCTGTCAATCATCAGTAAGTAACTGTTTACTTGGTACAGCAAGACAAAATTGTACCATGACTGCAAGTAGATTCAGTGTTCATTGTCTACAGGCTTTTCTCATAAAAGGAAACTTAAAATGTGGCTGAATGGGACCGTACCTGCATGGCAGTTGTTGAATAAGCAGTAAACAGGTCACCGTCCTTGATCACAGTTGACTGATGTTATCTAACATTAGCTCTTTCAAAGTTTGTGATGACTCATGATTACTGTCACATGTATTATGCAGCATTATGAATTCAACCAGCGTACGGTTGATTTCATAATCTCACAAAACATTGGTCAAATCACATATGAATATGCATGTATTGGTGTGGAACTGCATTGATAAGAGGTGTTCCTTTGTTTAATAAACTGATTATTGTCTTGGTTGTTTGGTTAGAGTTTTGAAGAAGCCGTTTAAGGTCTCAGAAAAAAAAATGTATTTGAATTGGAGGGTTTTAGCTTTAAAAACTAATAGGGTTGACTAAAAAACAAACACAGTGTGAAAATGAGGGTTTTCTATTCAGGAGACACACTGGCAGGTGCAGGAAAACTTTCAAGCCAAAGAAAAAGGCCCACCCGAAATCTACGGTACATGGGCAAACTCCTTTTAGAAGGGAATGTAATGAAGACAGACAGTTGCATAAGTACCACCAGGTAGAAATAGGATGATGTTGTGTTTGCCAGCCATTTCGGATTTATCAGGAAGAGTTACACATACCAGACTGTTAGCTGATCCATCAAACTCTAACAAAGGAATAAGTAATTGATTGAAAACTGCTGTAAACTTGCGGCGTTACAGAAGTTGGTGAAAAGTATAACACAGATGGACAAAAAGTTTAACATACATGTACATGTATGTGATAAAAACCCTTTTCTCTTTCCCTTTGTTTTTACTACAAGCTGTCTTTTATGAAAAGAAAGGCTTTACATGTAATCGTGTTACGTTCTGAGTTAAATTTAATATCATCTACTCTTACCAAATTCAGATATACATGTATACTGAAACTTTCAATATCTTCATGGCAGCGATACTCGAGTCTGTTTTGAGAGTTTTTCACAACCAGTCAATCAGCTTCATTGCATTACATGAATCACATTTCCTTGTACAATCAATCAATATGATGCTTTCTTGTTCAAAGTCCGAAAAGTGCTTACTGTCAAGTACGCAAGATCATATGTCATAAACACTCGATCAGACCAATTGTAATGTATCTCTGGAAAGAATTAATGATATCAAAATGGAAGATGTCTACAGTACATTTAATGCCCCACTTCTATGAGACATTTCTCTGGGAATTTCCCTCTCACAGCAGTTTGACACTGATTTTCCACTGGAACAGGTTTGCTTCTGAAATATGGCAGAAATTATGTTGTAGAAAGTTTAATGTTTATAGTCCTTTACCTATGTATTAGAACTGTAAAGAAGTCAGCCAATGTTGAAAACATGCAGTTAGTGGAAGAATGCCTAATAGTGGAAATTTATTAGATGTAGATCTGCAAAATGAAACTTGAAAGGCCTCGGGTATAGCTAAGATTACTCTCTTAAGGACGTACACTGTATTTGAATTTTTTTGCCACAGAAGTCTCAGAGAGAGAAAATTATTTTTCACATTAGGAAATACACTATTTCTGAATAAATAGCTCGGAAGATATCAAGACCTTTATTGCAATTCCATTTTTGTCCAGTTCTCTAAAACTTGATTGCCTTTGTGCTGCAGAATTCTTTGCGGCTTCATCGGTGCTCTGATGATCCTTGGTGCCCTTTATGACGAGTTTCTCAAGCTCCAAGCTAAGAAGTCCATCCACCACAGACTTAGGGAGGGCATGCGACAGCCATGGAGATTGCTGGATGAGACAGATGAGGCAGATGTAGCTGATGACGATGTACCACTTCTCAAGGATGTGGGCACTGGGAATTCCATCAACAGGGAGAGCCCTTCGCCGAAGACACAGAGTGAGTGGGCTATGACTTGTTGGGCCAGGAGCTTGGTGCCTGGAATTTCTCCAGGGAAAGAATGCACTTAATCTTGAAGCCATCGAGGCGTGATCTCTCCTGGCAGGAAAACAAAGCACAGACACAAGTTTGATGTCCAAAAGCGTTAACAGTATTGCATCTTTCACTTTACTGCCTTGGCATTGTTATCCACCAAGTCATGCAGGACGTTTGCCAACTTTATTATTTCTGTTCAACTTGGTCATGTCCCAGCCCTGAGTTTTTCACCACATCTCAAGGCCAATAGGGGCGATTCACAATAGTGCGCCACCGTGAGTTTGCAACGCGTTGGCCAATTACAGCACGCGAAATTTGTGGACCCTTTCCGAATGTGTATTGGGTCGACAAATTTCACGCATTGTGATTGGTCAACGCGTTGCAAACTCTTGGTGGTGCACTATTGTGAAACGTCCGTATTGGCACAGTGATACAAGACCCCTTAATTGTAACAAACATATTACTGACAAGGATCTACATGTAACTCATACTTGATGTTAAGGCCATGTTTCTTGCTTGTATACATCAATGTGTAGACCATGTATTCATCCAAGGAGGATCTCCTGCTATTTGAAAATAACCTCGTTGTGGATAAAGCTTTTGCTTAGATATTTCCCTTTGATAGCCCAGGACCTTAAGCTTAGTACCTCTTGTATCGGCAGGTCTGGCTGCCAGACTTCTCCTGTGCTTTGCCCTGAATCGCAACGTGGCCAAACTGATGGACACGAAGCAGAGCGATGCTAGCGTGGGCTGCCTGAATGGTGTCAGGGTCATCAGCATGTCATGGGTTATCTTAGGTCACACCGTTGCCTTTTCAGTGCTGAATCCAATAGGTAAGACAGTGGAACAAGGGTTTGGAGACATTATGCATAAATGCCTCAGTATGCATTTCCTATTTGTCTGATAGAACTGATAAAACTTGACCAGCTGGTTTTTAATTCTTTTTCGGTTTCATGTGAAGTATTTTTTTCCAGACTTTAGCCTTCGTAGTACATGACTATCATCTTCACATGTATGTACATATAGGTGCACACAATACAACCAATAAATGCACATTCTGCATTCCAAATTTCACCCTATAGAGGCTTTGTGTGGTAGCCATCTTGCACACTGGTTCTTTTGCGCATGCCCTGTGGAACAAAAGCACAAGCCTACAAGATGACGGCCATGCAAAACCTCTATACTCTATATTTTTGTTTAAAAAGTCTCTTTCGCTAGTATATCTCTTGTAAAAAAGAGACATTTTTACATTGTCCTGCTGCAGACCTTACTTAATTTCACCATGAAAAGCTTCAAAGCTTAAATATCCACTGAATCAGTTCAAAGCAAACAATATAGTGCTTTATTAGAAAGAAGAAACTCCTATAGTCCGTATTCTCTCATTTTACCCTTGGACTATTGTCTGCCATTTGCATAAATTCATTTCACCCTTGTCCCCCATACCATTGCTGGTCTTTGTTAGCACAACATCTTGGTCACTGGTGCTCAGAGTAACACGGAACTTAATGGCTGCATGGAAAGTTGCATTAGGGAATACATGTGAAATAGACGTTGTCGTCCTTTTTCCGCCAGACAATCTTCCAACATTCTATCATTGGATATCGACACATCCTGGCTTCCAAGCTGTGGCCAACGCATTCTTTTCCGTCGACTCTTTCTTTTTCCTGAGGTGAGACTTCACTGTTTGAAATCACCCTGAACAAAATGACCTAACAACGCTCTCCCACCCTGCTGCCGGGCTGGCTTGCCCGTATCAGGTAGCAAAGAAATCAAACAAACACTAGGAGGGGGCTCAGCCAATCTGATGCACCTAAGTTAGTGAGGCAAGGTCCCTTGGGATAAAAGCACTTGATGTCATTGTAAGCTCTGACATGTCCCATGCACGTGATTGGGTGTAAATCCCTGCTGATAGGTCCGATCCTTTGTGCACATATTGATAACCTGAGTTGATCTTCAGTGGGCTTCATTGCTGTATGTTTGAATAGTGGACTAAGTCATTACTTGAGGTAGGGGGGAACAAACTATTTGTGTTTGGTCCTTTTTTCTTTTGCCTATGAGCTTCCAATTTCTGTTAATGTGTCAGAAAGCTTATATCTGCAAAGAACAACAGAGAAAGAAAGAAAGTGCAGTTGACGTTATTCAGAAGTCGGCCATATTGAAGTTGACGTTTTCATTTTGAGAACTTTAGAATAAAAGTGGAAGCAGTGAAATAAAAATTCTCTGAAGATCAATGTTATTTACCACGACGAACGATATAAAATTTGTGATTTATTGTGTCAAGCTGTTTTAAGCAACATGTGAAATAAATTGAAATTGAGGAATGGAACCCTAAATAGTCTGACACCACCCTATTTGGCAGATTACTTTGAATGAGATGGATCAAGGGAACATGATAAAAAACATGGCTTCGTTGAGAATAAGGTATATTCATTCCTCTTGTCCTTGTTTGCAGTGGGTTTCTGGTGGCCTATCTTACTTTCGCTCGCTTCCGTGAGTTGAGGACCATCAAGACATGGGCTTTGTTTTACTTCCACCGCTATTGGAGGTAAGATATCAATGGCAGCATTCACAAGGGAATAGCAGATTGGTTTAGTTTCTCCTTTTTTAAGGGTTGTCATAGTTTTCCGGAAGGATAACTTCCAAGGAAGGTTTCTCCTTGATGGGAGAGTTTGCCATCTTATCAATTTGGTACCGAGGTTGCTGCCCCCACAAAATCAGGTCAGATCATTTTCACTTTCCCATCATTCTGTATGTCTGTCGAACTGAATCACAGAATCTTGAATTCTGATAAAGGTTCCTTGAAAATGACAGATTTTTTCCTCCTCCTTTGCCTCCCCCCCTCCTCCTGCGTTTGCAAGGTTGACACCCCTGTTTGCCTTCACCATTCTGATCTGGATGTACATCCCTCAATACTTCGGCTACGGACCTGCGTGGCAGAGTTCTGCCTTCAGAGAGTTCTGTCCCCAGTACTGGTGGAGCTCGTTGCTTTACATCAGCAACTTCTGGCCGAAAGCATTTGGTGAAGAGGTGAGTGTCTCACATAGCCTGTTCTGATTTAAAGATTGCTAGATTTCAGTACTTCGGTACATATGAGCAGTTGTGTAGTTTTTTTAAGGAATTGTTTTGGCTTTTTCAGTCTTTTTTCGTTCATTCAGGTGTTTCTGAGGCCCCCAAAATAGACAGATGAATCGAGGACAATCTTAGGAAGATGTAAAGTTTAAGACTTGATTTGGCCTTCCATTGATGACACAACTTAATGAGCAGTATTCCCTCACATTGCTATAAATAAAGGAATAAATATGTGCTCGGCTGGTCTTAAAAGTGCATTTAAGGCCAGCTCAGGAGAATGGACGCGACTAATGCCTGAGCCCGAACTATCAGTGTTCCTTCTCCTGAGCAAGGTAACATTTAATACCAGCTAAGCACATATTTATTTCCATTCATAAATACCTGTTTTATTCAGAGCGTCAGAGAAGTCAATATATGATGGATTTCCCACAATTTTGTGCTAGAATTTTACTTTCATTTTCCTGAACTCCCCCTTCTCTTTATGGTATTTTCCTTTTGCAAGTTGTCCAACAGAATCTCCTTATATGGACTTGGCACAGGCATAGCGAGCCGCGTGCATACAGATTCTTGACCAGTCAGAATCGATAAAACTGTCTCAGATCCAGGCGCCAGCATGTGATTTATGTGGCAGGCATTATTACTTCTCAGCGGGCATTATCAAATGTTAATACACAGTCAAGTTGCTCGTTGTTGAATAGGGAGACTGTCTGAGGTATTTATGAATGAATTATAAACGTCTGCTGCAACAAATGCCTGAGCTGCATTGCATTACAGCTTTGCAGGGGTACTCCTGATGAATGTCTTAACATGCTTGCCAAGGTCCAAAAAGATTGGGTGTGGGACAGCAAAAGATTTGGTGGAGATGGGATGGGGGACAGATTCTTATCTTGTTTTTACTAAAAACTGGCTATTTTTATGGTTGAGTTACATGTTCTTTAAGCAATTGCCAAAATTCTGCTTAAACGGCTGTAACTGCATTACAACATCCTAAACAGCTCTGTGGTGTACAGAATAAAATCTTTTCATGCCTTCGTTTTCACTTACCATTCATTTTACCCTAAAAGTCAAAGCAGACTCATATTATAAGTCCGGACAGGGACTTCTTTTTTTTAACATCATCGATAAAACCTCTTCAGGATTGTGTGTAGCAGTACGCATTGCGTGCTTGGTGATTGCTGTGTCTGAGGTGTACTTTGTTTGATTTCCAGTGCATTGCCTGGACGTGGTACTTGGCTAATGACATGCAGTTTTTCGCCATCAGCCCTCTGCTCATGGCCCCGCTGTTCTAGTAAGTCTCACTGCGTGTTTCTGATGTGATTAGTTGTTCCCCGCCTCTCAGAAATGTGTAGCCCCGCCCCTGCCTGAGACCACACACAAACCAGTTTGTAAAGGGTCCCTGCTCAATTCTGTGCCAAAGCCCTTTGAAGCTTGATAAAATTTATCGTACTCTTATGCAGCACATGCTAGTCAATGATTAACCAAAATCCTCCACAGCCAGTATTGTTCATTTTTAGAATGGTGACTAAATGTCCAATTTCCCAATTTCTCAGCTCATGATTTTTACTCTCTTAAAACTGTACTATAGAAGATAAAGCCTTGCATTTTGTTTTGACCATACGATCTCCAACAAAATTTCGGTTGTTATCATGGATCGTTTGTTTGTGTAAACAGTTTTCCATTATTTGGTTGGTTGGCACTTATTGCAACGCTGCTGGCTTCCTTCATATCAACTGGGCTCATCATTGGCCTCTATGATCTGCAGGTTTCTTTAGCAGGGTTGGAATCGTAAGTGTCTTGTTCTAGACAAACAGGAAGTCACTTTCCAGTGAGCAATTGTGCAACTGAAACTCGATGTAGCAAAACAGTGGCTTTCTTGCCTCCTTAAGGAATGAATCACATGAGTCTGCCATCTGCTTTTCACATGGTGGAGAGTTCACGTGGCCAGGCCAAGTAAACGAGACATTAAACCGTTTCTTCTGTAATTCTGTCCATTTTTATTAGAAAGAACATACTAAACTTCTCATTGCGAGTTGCTGGTTCCTGTTTATTTTATGCTAGATTCCTCAAAAGGCAAACTCAAAGTGATTAGTTCCTTTTGACTCAATTTGGTACGTCAATTTACATATTTGGAAATTAAAGACAATAGTTGCAATCAAAGGCTTTAACCAATCCCCATCAGTAGCCAAACGCATGCAATGATGTGGCTTATATTTGCATTGTTTGCTTCTTTCCGCAACAAGGGGACCACCTGATGCTAATTTTTCAAGCTTGGTGTACGGCAAGCCCTACTGCCGCATCGCTCCATATCTGGTGGGGATTGGGCTGGGCTATATCATGCACAGGATTGGCAAACGCAGAGTCAAGATGTCGCCGGTAAGTTCTCGAATCATGAATGTCTGCTCTTAATTTGTTGGAATTTAAAAGTACAAGGGACTGATATTGGCCATTTGTGAGACGTAGGCTGCATGGTTGAAGATGAATAGTCTGTATTAGCTCTCTGAAATGTTTGACCTTGTCAAACTGGTTCCCAAGGTGGAGGTCTTGGAACTAGGCTGACCTAGTTTGCCCTGAGGAAGCTAACGTGTTTGCACCCATGTGCATTGAGCACGTACTGATGAGAAAAACCTGTCGTGAAACATGAAATGCAGCGAGTCCAATTTAGAACAAAACTTGGTTTCAAAATTAGCTTAACAAGACATCAGAGGTAAAACTTAACATGATAAAAATGATGATATTGGAGAGAAGGTACATTTCCCCAGCTCGCTCAAGGATAGATTTGCACTTTTCACAAGCCTTCGGCGGCATACACTGAGCATACAGTGTTAAAATACACGTCAGGCAGGGCAAAAATCCAAAATTGATTTACATCTCCCCGGCGCAAAGCCATCCTTGACGTAGCTGTTTGCGGTACCCGCTGCTACATCTGATTTGAGCCAGCCAGTCGACACCGGCAAACTTGGTGGTCAAGTGGTTAAGACGTCTGCACTAGTAAGCCGGAGGTCATGGGTCCCAGTCCCACCCGAGTACGCTTGTGGTTTTGGCAAAAATCCAAAATTAATCCCCCAGCTCTTGTTAGGTTAATTTGAACGAGTTGCTTTCAGAGAGAAGAAAAAGCCGACAATTCCATGTGTTGTTCGCTTTCAGGTGCTAGCTGTGTTGGGCTGGTTGGTAGCCGCCGGCATGGCACTGAGCGTGTTGTATGGCCTGTATCCAAGTTTCCACACACCAATGACCAAGGCAGCAAACATTGTCTATGGTTCCATTAGCCGCTTTGTCTGGGCCCTGGCCCTGGCATGGCTGGTGTTTGCATGCAAGTATGGATACGGAGGTAAGAGTCTGGGTACATGTTTAAGGGCCCACAACGTGAAAGCTACGCTGGAGTACATTTACAACAGATGTCCATACCTGTGAATAATACTGTTCATAAATGTGACTACTTTCATTAATATAGGGCAGGCATTGGAACATTTTCAGAGGGCCAGAACTGAGAAAAGTACATTGGACTCAAGTTGCATTCTGGGAATTTCCATTGCTTCTGTTACAACTATGTTTTGCGTTGAGCACCTTTTCAGTGGACACGTGCTGCTTAGAAATTTCATTTATTGTTAGTAATATTGAAGATACTTTGTAGGGCCCTTAAAGCTGATAGAAAAAGAGTGTGTATTGCCCATTTCATGATGGAATTTTATCACTGCCTCTGTCACAGGGTGGATCAACAGTTTCCTGTCCTGGAGTGTGTGGGTGCCACTGGCCCGGGTGACGTTCTCAGCTTACATGTTCCATCCGATCGTCATAGAGGTTTTCTACGGCAACTTTGCCTCTCCTTTCCATTTCTCTGTCTACCTGATGGTGAGTGCCAAGCATAGGTTATCTGCCGAGAGTCCCCCCCCCCAAAAAAAAAAAAATCCTAAGTTTAATATTTTTGATTGTCTTTAGCCAGATTCTGTTTTATGGGAAATTAACTTTGCCTTTGGAAAAAAATGCCGTACTTTTTCCTCACTTTTCCCTCTCAAGTTGTTTCAAGCACCAATCGTTTTCTTGTTTTACATTTTTTTACTGCCTGGAGTACTGGGACTCATTCGCAGTACTGAAAGTTCCCCAGTCTTTGGACTGAGTCATACCTATGGGGCTCTCTGCAGAAAGAAAATTGAATTGAAGTGACTTGAAACCCACGCCATTCATCGAAAGTTCTGTGATTGCACTGCATGTCTACACATTTTGGCAGGCATTCTACTTCGCCGGCCTGGTCTCGGTGTCTTACTTTGTTGCCATCCTGGTAGCACTGGCCATCGAGTACCCCTTCGCCAATCTGGAGAAGGTACTGCTCCCCACCCCAGCGAGGACCAAGAAAGTTGAGGGGCTTGACGGCCGGGCGACAATGGCAGGTGACAGGGAGGTGGTCACGGTAGTCACCGGGCGCCCCGTGGAAAACGGACTCACACAGCGGGTGTCTGCCTACCAAAAAGGGCTTGCCGACTCCCGGGGAGTGTGATTTGGGAGCGACAGTCGGTAAGTGCCTCCGGTGGGTGTTTCATCACAAAAGGCTTCCAGGATTTGTTTGATTGGAACCTCAAAAGCAGAATGTAATTTCATCCTCATGTACCTCATTCTTAGTGATACGATCAGGGCAGAATTCAATTTACATTTTGTAATTCATATTTTGCATCTGGAGTGTAATACAGTGGCATTGCACTGTTTAATGAGTTGAATAAATTTTGCAATCAATTTAGCCAAGTAAAAGTTCTCAGTCAGCCTTAAAATGTAAATCTGTGTAGCGGCTTCAAGTGGTCTGCACAATTGTCTTATCAAATTATGTCATGTTCTGCTTTACAATCTTCGATATCTCATGTTTCAATTGTGAAGTAAATTAGATGAGGACATTTGAAAAAATAGATTGTTTGTACAATTTTTGTACCAGAAATAGAAGTCCAAGATCATCATTGCTGTTGAGGAGAATCGAAATTAATCAAGAATTGTAGCAAGAGTTTTATTGGGCGGGTCTTCACTGCTTTTAGGGGACCAGTTCTTCTGTTAAGCAAATTAGGACTGAGTTGTCAGGAGATTTCTTCCCCCCCCCCTCCACAATTTTCGCTCCCCACAAAATCGCTGTAATAATGAGCGTTTGTCCCAACAACTTTGCAACAAATCGGTGTCTACTGTTCTGTGTAAAGTTTGTCAGGCTAACCGTGATGACCACTTCATGCTTTTGAGACAGTTTGACATTGGGCTCAATGTTTGTTGTCTGTCTTGGCCCATGTCAGCTCACTTTATACGTGACAAACGATTACTTGCAAGACACCAAAGGGTCTGGAGAATTAAGACTAAAACCATGTTGCAAAACTGTCTGGCTGTGGCTACTCACTATGGTGTATCAGTGGGAGAAAAAGTGTTGCCATAGCCTCAAAAGCTGTCATTCAGAGGTGGCCTTGATGTATGTCACTGGCCGTAGATGGACAACTTGTTGCTAGGGTCAGTTCGTCCCATGTGTTTGTGAGCTGTTCCCGATGGGAAGAGGAGGTTTCCAGGTATTTCGGGAACAAAGCATGTGCGTGAGTCAGTGTATGGCTGCGCTGATAGGACAGACGCGCACACGTGCAAGGGCATGCATAGCTGTTCCCAAAAAGCCTCCTACTGGGCATGCACTGTTGAGATACCGAACTGGCTCATTATGTAAAATGGTATTACAGTTTTGAGGGCTTCAAACATTCTCCATTTTGATATGATCCTTTAGAAATTTGCCCATGTAAGGCTGAAAGACAATCATCTACGTGGTAGTTTTTATATTTCACGGATCCCTCTCTACACCATATAAGCTCCACTCCCAGTAAGAATTCTGCAGTCTCCTGAAGACGGACAGAGTACACTGTTCGAAACGTCGAGTTATTCTCCGGTTCTTCTCAGAACCACACATACTCAAAGAAGAGATAAACACATGGTGTTACCGCAATCTTTCCTATAAATCTATATTTCACGTTGTCGAACAAGCCGACGCATATCTTTATTATACATTCAGTTCTTTTATGCTCTTCTTGTATGCTTCAAAGAGATTTTCAGAGCATTCGAAATATAATTGAGAGACCTAAAATAATTTACGGCAGGGATATTGGTTTCAAGATTTATTTCTCTAACTGCAGTTGTTTTTGTGTAAACAGTGAGAAATTATTCTCAGTTTATTCAGGGGTTTGATCTCTTGACTTTCATCTGTGACTGTAATTGTTTGTGATTCAAGATGGTAAATTTCACAGTACTATACATGTACTTATTGTAGGTTTTTGAAGTTTAATTGCATTAGCTATTGTTTAATTGGATTTCAACTTTCTTGAAATTTCTCTAATACATAATGATTTGATTTTTTTTAATGATTTCAGCAACTCATTGTCCATCGGTGCAATCGTGTCCATATTGTTTGAAAGAATTCACATGAAATTGATATCTTTTTAAGGAATTTTGAAAATTATATAAATTTGATATGTAAATGTTTGAACTTTTAAAGGAATCGCCAGAAATGTATGCCAGAATGTTAATATTTTTAGCAGAAATCAAGTGTCTTTTTAAAGTAAAATGAGAAAGATTGTTTTTTTTGTTTTAAATCTTAATTTTCAGATGAATTTTGGTACCTTTATAGCCAAATGTATAGTGTATGTGTAACTTGCAAGAAATATATCCTAGTTATTGATCATTTCAGTAATTCTTTTGAAGAAAACGTAATTCACGCATCGATCGATCAAATATTATCGTGTTAAAAAATGAGAGATTAAACGGATTTGTGTATTTTTATTTGAGATATTGCCAAAATGATGATGCCAAATAGATACATGAGTTTGAATTGAAATCAAGTATGTGTAATTATTGCTGAAAGATTTAATTTTTATATCGTCAATTATGCACACATTTTACAGTTTACGCATGGAGCTGTGATTTTTTTTAAGGTTCCTGTTTGAATCCAAGCAGAGCTTTTCAGAATTTGAGAACCAGTGAAACCGATGGATGGATTAATGTCTCGAGTCAGATTAATCATGACGATGATGAAACAAGAAAAAAGGAGATGCCGTTGTCGTATCTACTCAGATGCTATCTTTTATCCAGAGCTGACATTTTATAGCTACTGTAATTTCAGGAATAAAATGGTACGATGGTGATCACCAAACTACTGCTCGATTATAGGTTGTGCAGTCTCTTTAAGATTTCACTTTGAAAACACTTTCTTTTTTTTCGCAACATTGCTGTTTGTTTTTGCTGGCCCATATTTTCTGATTCGATTGATGCGCGGGGTCACACAGTCACAGCGGCGCGAACTTCAGACTTTGGAACCGACATCGATAAGATATGCAATACCGCATGCAGCTATTGCGCGGTTATTGTCCATGTGCACTCGCACATAATCCACCATTTTGGTTCCCCAGTTGAGACACTAATGTTGGAACTCCCGTCGAAGAGCTCTGGGTCGTGAGGCTTCTGCTAGTTGATGGTCTGTGAAGTGTGAGAACATGGAGGAAGGAATAGCCTATACCGACCTGTATTCCAAGCCCACAGATACCCATCAGTATCTTCACTCATCCAACTGTCACCCTAGACATTGCATAGGTCTACAGCCAAGCACTCAGGCTGAGACGCATATGTTCTATAATGATTCAGATTTCTCCCGTCATACACAGGAACTGACGAGGCATTTGATTGCAAGGGGGCACAGCTATCACCAGGTTCAACGCTCTATCAATAGGGCCCACTCCATCCCTACATGTAGAAGTCTTGCACTCAAGGAGAAGACCCCCCGTGAAGAAACAACCCCCAGGGTCCCCTTGGTCACCACTTTCCATCCTCGTCTTCCCCCCCCCCCTCCGCAAAATAATCAACGACAATCATCATATCCTCCACACTTCAGACCCCCTGGCCAGTGCCATCCCAGACACCCAAATTGTGGCCTACAGGCGTCCCCGCAACCTACGGGACCTTATTGTTCGGGCAGAGGTGCCCCCTTTGGATACCCTTCCCCCCTCCCAGCAAGGCACGTTCAAGTGTGATTCTAACAGATGTGTTGTTTGCCAGAACCATGTCCTGGAATCAGATACATTCTCTGGACAGTCGTCCAGTACCACCCACAGAACCAAAGGCACTATCACTTGTAGCTCTTCTAATTTCATGTATCTGATCTCTTGAAGGGAGTGCGGTATGTTGGAGAGACTAAGAACACTCAAGAAGCGTTTGTATGGCCACAGATGTACGGTCAACACAAACGACAAGATAACCCTGTAGGCCACCACTTCAGCCTTCCTAACCATTCCACGTCTAACATGATCTTACAGGGCATAGAATCATTTTGGGTTACGTAAAGATGCTGTTTGCTTCAACAGGGAGAAGCTTTTGATCAAACGCCTCCACACCATACAACCCCATGGCCTGAACATCCAAGAGGGAAACTACTAATTAACACTCTTTTCTTTCCCTCTCTTTTGTCTGCAGACTATACCCCCCTTCCACTAATTCGAGTCCAGTTCCATCCATTGTATTTTTTCTTTGATCTTCTCCCACCTTACATTCCTTTGTTATTCAACCACGTCTTTCACGCAGTCCCCTTTATCCTTTGCCCCTTTATCCCGCCTGCAGCTTCCTTGACCTTTCCTTTTGTCTTGTTGCATTCATCTATGCTTGGTTGATTCTCTGTGTGCTTGTTTGTTCTGTCCACTTGTCATTTTGCCTTAGAGGAAGATTCTGCCAGGCCCTCCATATTTTGAGAAGTGTGAAACTGCTAGTAAAGTGGCCTCCATACGAGCCGCGCGTGTTATTTCCAGTCTAAAACTGTGACCGCTGTCTTTTATCTGACTCATTTTCGGGGGGGGGGGGCAAAGTCAATTTGCCGAATTGTAATATTATTTGTTCGCCAACCCCGTGTCGTGTAAAATTTGCAATGTACTGAGGGGATACATTGAGTTTTTTACGTGCATCCGCCTGGAAAATGTTAATCCGTGGTATGTTTCATGCTTCAGGGGAAATGCCGACAACCAACGAATGTCGTTTATGTATCAATTTTAGATTGGTTCGCCGACGGAAGTTCCATTTGCCGACTGAAATTAATCATGGGGGGTACCACACCCTAACCCTGGTCGCTATGCCCCTGCCTACAGGATCCGCCTCCGCACACAAGCCCGGCCTGGCAAACCATCAGTGAACAAATGAATATTTAGAACATTTAAAGAATATAATATCCAGTTCTTATTAAAGTGACTACGCGCGCACGCACCACTGATTGCAAGTTCCTAATACGGCCGTTTCACAATAGTGCGCCACCAAGAGTTTGCAACGCGTTGGCCAATCACAGTGCGCGAAATTTGTCGACCCAATGCGCGTTTGCAAAAGGGTCGACAAACTTCGTGCGTTATGATTGGCCAACGTGTTGCAAACTCTTGGTGGCGCGCTATTGTGAATCGCCCGTATTGGAACAAACTAGTTCCCTCGGCTTCGCCTCTGGAACTAGTTTGCCAGCTCCCAATAACATCGGGGAACTAACATCGACTGTCCAACCTCAAACCATGTTATGTTTGTGTAATGATTATATTGGTGACATTTCGGGAACGTTCGTAATCTAAAGCTCAAACATTTTAGAAATATAATAAAATTGAACAGCAGAAAAGAAATATAACGCAGTTCCTGGCTAAGTCTAGTATTCAGTGGAAGTACAGTGATACTGTTCTTGTTTATAAATATGGCCTGCCAGTTTGAATACGATTGCCAAAGTTTACAGAAAGTTCAAGCTTAGTACGGTTGGCAATAGCGTTTGCCTGAAAATTCACTTTATTCTGTGGAAGTGTTATTTTCATCTCGTTATTTCAGTGTCCGAGTGGCTAGGAGATTGTTTTTATTTTTTTTTTAGCTATTCTTTTCTTCTGCACTGACGACTGTATTTATTAGTTTGAACCATCTTTTGAAAGATCGAATTCCAATCTTGCAGTATTCATGCATGCATTCAGGCCGAAGGTGCTGGAATGCGACATTCCAGCAAATTCGGCGCTGAAATCATCGACGTGTGCGCAAAACAACGTGCAGATTGCGCCCGTGCGATAGATGTGGAAGCTCTGTGCGTTTTAATCCAGAGCCAAATTCTCGGGGTGAACTTGGATTTATTCACAGGATCTTATATGACCTTTCTGAGAGATCGGCCTTTATATTGGAGCTTTTACACGCCTTTTATGGAAGGGGGATGAAACAGACCAGAAAAGTCACCTTTCATTATTTTTCAAGCCCAAAACATTGCTCCTCTCGGGGGTATTGCCCCCGCCTCCCCCTCTGATTGCGTCTTGAATTTATTTTTCAGTCAGTTTCAAACACATTATCCTACTTGGCAATCTTTTTCGGCAACAAAATTAATCATCGAATCGTCACACATTGATAGAATTATTTAGAATCATTGTCGAGCCACCTGATAACAACGGAGACGCATTGGAGCTAAGGTTGGAATAGCGAAACTATAGCTAAAAACAAATGCTTGTAAAATATAATTCATACAAAAATGGTGATTTTTCCAAACCAAATTCTAAGACAGTGTTTTTGGTCTCAAGGCACACAACTATCCATTTCCACTTCAGATCGCACAGTTAGGGTCTACACAATTTTAAGAATGATGTCTCACATCCAGTTCATTTCTGCACTGCAAATGCGAAAGGGAAACGAAGTTATACGTCTCGAAAAATTTGCAGCGAAATTTCGCTGAGTGGAAGATTTAATTAGACATTTCCCTTTGCGTTCGTGTTCTCGCTTTCGCAGGAAGTACGAGCCGTCCTTAACTGATTCAGTAACTGAAAAATACTCATGGAAAAGAAATAGCAGACGCTAATTTTACGTGTTTATCTCCATGTGTCCAAGCCAAGTTTTCGCCACTTTTTGGAATTAATTAAAGTTCACGTATTACACTGCATATATGTACAGTACATGCATTACATAGACAGCATAAACACGCAGCTAACTACATGGGCGTCAATCGGTGAGGGACGGGGGACATGTTCACTCCTACCCTCACTTTTCCAAGTGGGCGGGTACTATATCAATTGCTTCCACGTCACCCCCCCCCACACACACACGTGTTTCCAAAACCTAAATGAAAAATGTATACTTTGTAAAAGCATTTGTTAAAAACTGGCTACAGAAGCCAGAAATTGTCTCAGACCACACCACAGAGAATCTATACTGTATTTATACTGTCTATCTATACTAATTTTCCGGGGCCCTTGAGCACGCGGGCCCTGGACCCCACGCCGCTCATCTCAGGAGGGCTTGGCGCTTTGCGCTCACATTTGTTCTGATCAGGGCTATGTCCCCCTACTTTTCAAATAGGATTGACGCCCTTGTATCTACATCAAATTTTGTACATTTGTATATCTGAGTTGACCAGATTTGGTCTCTCTACGAGACAATGTAGAAACCATAAACACGCAACAAACTATACTTTGAGATCTATATATCTGAGTTGACCATTTTTGTCTCTCTTTATACAAGACGTCTAGGTAATGTCTTTAATGCTGAGACGGCATCAGTGGCAGGATGCCGCTATCTCGCTCCTGCATGACCGAGGAAGAGTTCAAGGTCGGCCGTCTACATGTTCGGATCGTACGGTTGGTGGTTGCCAGAAGTCCTCGACCTGGATGAGCGCCACCGCTTGAAACTGTACCAGATATTCCCAAAATAACCAGCCACCGCGAGGAAGCCAAACACCTGTGGGGAAAGTCAAAAGTGTTAAATTTTCTTTGTTTTAAATGGGATGTTATGGTGGAGGATTTTGCTGATGCGTTATGGAGATATTTTCAGTTATATTACACAACTTATTTTTTTGTTCAGTCCAACGGAAGACTTTCTAGATTCAGCTTATCTTGCAAGTGTGCAGTTATTGAATTCAAATCCTAACTTATCGCCCCAATACTTTGGTTCTTTACTTTTTTGGAATTTCTTTGCTCTTCTAAACTTAATGTAACTGATGCTTATTTCAGAAGGCAATGGTTGTCTAATTAATTCTGCAGTTTTAGAGTTTATTGTATTTATTTCAGAGAAAAAACTTCAGTTGGGCCTCTACAGTTTACCTCACTCAATATTTGCATGGTTGCAGAAAGGCACTGATCTTTTACACTTGTGTAACATAACTGACCATTTCAAGAATTTGTTGGTAAAACAGAGGTTTTACCATACCTCAAGAGAGCCCAGCTCACAGTTCAATTTCCTCAATCTGTAGGCTTTTCCAAGTTTCCGGTGATCTCGTGTGTTACAGAATGTTAAATGGTATAAACACAGCACTGTGATTAATTTGGTAAATCCCGCTGGACAGATCCAAAAAACAGTTGTCTCAAGTAATCGAGATTATCTCCACAACGCTTCATCAGATCTAAACGAGGTCCTCAGTTTTGAAGGAATAACATTCTAGGCTTTAGTTTTGTACCCAAAACAACAATTTCTGAAATTGTTTTGAGAGAAAATAAGTGTTACGCCAACTTTTGGGGCTCCATTTAAGGGGGAGGGATACAACCTGTATACAGCAAGAAGGAGTCCTTTGGGGCGATTATTTGTGTTAACCGAACGTAAAACCTGTCAATTTCAATCCATTTTTTAAATTGCCAATTATGAAAATTTAGTCTGTGTACTTACTCCAGCGGCAATCATAACTGGCGCTGTCCCTGACAGGATGATCATGAGCAAGGAAAACACGAAGTAAACAACTACCGAAATAATGCTGTTGAGGAAATCCTGCAACAAGAAAAGGGTGAAATATTCACGCCACCAATTTGTCTTGCTTTTCGTCGTGTGACCTGACACTGGCAGAGTTGCTTGAAGGCGATGTCGGAGTTACTAACGATTCGCAAAAGAAACTGAGCCTAAATTTAACCTCGATGGCACGTTAAATGAGTGATTGTCGCCATTGTTAACTTCACGAAAGCAAAGCAACCTCCACACTAGGTGAAAAAAGTATATATGCTATGTTGCGTTTTCAATACGACGGGCGATTCACAATAGTGCGCCTTCGTGAGTAAGCAACGCGTTGGCCAATCACGACGCGTGAAGTCTGTCGACCCTCTCCAAACGCGCGTTGGATTGACGGATTTCGCGCAGTCGTGATTGGCCAACTCGTTGCAAACTCTTGGAGGCGCACTGTTGTGAATCGCCCGTATTGCGTTACAATGCGTTCTGTTTAAATCAAATCTTCAACACTAATAATATTTAAACTTACAGTTAAATAGAAGTTGATCCGTGAGATCTTCTTCTCAAGAGTAAAGGCAAAGACTACGAAGATCGTGACAGTCAAAATAAGGCTGATTGCCAAGATAATGTCAAACAAAATACACAGAATAGATGGCCCACATACGCAGCTTAAAATGAACGCCACAAATGTCCAACCCTGGTGGAAAAACATGCAAGAAGATAAACAGCTAACGAGTTAGATGAGAAAGTTGTGAATAGATTACCCCCGTCGCCCTAAAAAAAAGTTTGGACCCGAGAATTACGCTTTGGAGTATGGAATTCCATATCTGCCGTCGTCCGTCGTCCGTCGTGCGTCGCCCGTCGTGCGTCGCCCGTCGTGCGTCGCCCGTCGTTTTTTGTCACGATTGCGCAGTGGTATTTTTAACTTTGACCCTTGATCTTTTTACATGTACATGTCCTTGTTCGATCGATCCACCATGCCTGACTCTCATTTTAGCAATAGAACTATAAGATGTACATGTATTCGTTTTTGCAGTTGCGCCAAACTCCAATTGAAAGAAGAAATAATATCCTGACATCGGCTAAGTAACGTGTATATGAAATAATACCATTTCGGTTACATAAAGAAATCAACAAAATAGACTTTTGTTAGGGTAGACTGTTTTTCTCGATAACTTAGTTACTCTAGACGTAACTTTACTTGTTAACAGCCAGACTTTAGGTCTATAGCCTATGTGATATTTCTGTCTGTCCCTGCACGATATCCCACAGAACAGAATGTAAATAATAGATTATTTACAATGTTTGATTCCCAATAGTTTTCATAAGAGACAAACATATTCA